TACCATGAGTATTTATTTTAAATGTTGTATGGTATTAAGTTTGCTAATTCGTGTAAAACAATGGAACATTCCTTTCTGCAACAATCTGTCCCTCATGGTACAATACTGAGTCAAAGCGAATGGTAAAATATTGAGTCAAAGGGAATGAATACCAAGGTAAACAGTCCTTAACTCTGTGTATTTTGCTGGGGTGTGACAAAAAAGCAGATAGGAACCTAGTTTTCAAAGAGGAAAGTTTATTAGGACACAAGGACTTGGCGTCAAGCATTATCAGTACTTTCTGTGCCAATGCCCAGGATAAAATCTCCCCTCAGGTTCTGATTTCAGTTTGGGGCAACGTTTGAGGAGCAAAGACAATTTAGGAATTTTAAATGTGTGGCATGTGCTAATGGATCATTGAAATAAACCGGTTCTTCAGAGGCTCAGCAGCTTCACATTCCTTTGCAGGTAAGGTCACTGTCAACATGCTTAGTGCCCTGTATGTCAGGGTTACAGGTAGTTGACACTTTGCACGCAGCTGAAAAAACCCACAAAAAGTTGCAACTCCTTCCTGCACTTCTGATACAGTATTTTGTATGGTATAGTTTCATGTTAGAGAGAGGACATTGATAAAAGGATGCAAAGAAGCAGAGGTAGACTGGGCTTAAGCTGTGTACGTTTGTGAGTGGGTTATTCCCTTTAGTAGGAGCAGAAGTACACACACACACATGCACATGCACATGCACATGCTTCTCCTTGGCTCCAAAGAGGGATGCATCTGCAGCAGTTTAAAGCTTCAGTGGGTCCTGGCAGTTAGTAAATCTCTCTCAGGTTCTCATAGCTTTGCTAATACTGGCACCCCATCTAGACCACAGCTGTGCTATCATAAGATTTAGTTGCAGAAAAGTTTCTTCGGAAGGAACTGGTTTATCGTGCCATTGTATAATGAGAATAAATGTTCTCCATAGAAAATTCTCATGAAAAATTCATGCCTAACGTGCCCTGAGCATGTGCAATTGATAGCTACACATTTTTAAGTCTTGTCAGCTTTTGATTTCTCTATTCTTTTTTTTAAATGGCAAAATACTGCAATGTGGTCTCTGTGTGTGGTCAGGTTTCTGGCTTTAAACCTTATTTTTTTTTAAATAAAATATATTATTATTTGCTGGCTTTCTCCAGGGAAATAGGAAGATGTAAATTATTTACTGTAACCAACTTGCCCTGCAGCTTCAGCTATGGAATTTAGTCACTGACCTTAAAAGCAAAAGCAAAATTGCCCTTTTTCAGTTTACATTGTCTACATCATGAATTGCCAAACAGGAAACTGAGATTCCCTTTCCTTGGTCACAAATTCATAAAAATACTTACCTATATTGTGCTATACTAATGTTTTACCAATCGCACAAGTCTATGTTGCTCATAAAACATTTGAAGGCCAAACAGAATCTATACCATGTGGTCTCATTCCTCAGAATCAATACTGAGCAAATAAATTTATTCTACTCAGACTAATTTCCAGGCCTTTCAGGCAAGAGGAATTCCATGTGCTATGCTTTTTCCAAGTAAAAATGCTTGTCCTTGTGATTCACCCACAGTCTGCCTTTTCTGCCACATCAGAAATACTTCAGAGCCTGTCTCAGCCTTTAGAAGCCTTCACAGGCAGACCACTCTATCTCATGTATTCTTTCCACATAACAAATTTGGAAAACTAATCACAGAATCACAGAATCAAAGAATGCTTTGGGTTGGAAGGGACCTTTAGAGGCCATCCAGCCCAACCCCCCTGCAGTGAGCAGGGACAGCTTTAACCACATCAGGGTGCTCAGAGCCCCGTCCAACCTGACCTGGAATGTTCCTAGGGATGGGGCCTCCACCACCTCTCTGGGCAACCTGTGCCAGTGCTTCAACACCCTCATTGTAAAACATTTCTTTCTTATATCCAGTCTAAATCTATTCTTTTTTAGTTTAAAACCATTACTCCTTGTCACAACAGGCCTTGTTAAAAAGATTGTCCCCATCCTTCCTGTAGGCCCCCTTTAAGTACTGGAAGGCCGCAATAAGGTCTCCTCGCAGCCTTCTCTTCTCCAGGCTGAATCACAATATAATCACAAATATCCCTTTGGTCTCACTCATCACATCTACCCTGCAAAAACACTGCCATTGCCCCATCCTGCTTACTTCTTACTCCTTTGATCTGAGTGGATTTGGGAGGCTTGAAACTGTATTTTTAGAAGGCAGCCATGATAGACTAGCTACAAGATCTTCACCTTGCTTTTCCTGTTTTTTCTTATGGTCCAAAATATTAACTCCTACCAATATGTAAAGGACTTGATTATTGTTTGACTTTCCTGAAAAAAAAGCTTTCATCTTACTTTGTTTAGGTGTAGATAGGGTTATTCATTGGAAGGTTTACCTTTCATGTCATCAGTTGTCATTATGTTTTATTAATGAATATGAATATATATTATATTCTGTAGTAGCTCCCTTTTACCTGTTTATATTGCTGTGTTTTTTCCTTAAGATCATTAGGATAGATACTGCCTCTGTGTGTCTGTACAGCAACTAGTACAGAAGATACTGATTTTGATTGATCTTTTTGGGTAGAATGGTAACAGTTATGGTAGTAATTCCAATCTTACTGTGACTTCATGTTCATATATGAGAATAATACTACATATAGTATTCCTATATAAGGAATCATCTCATGGTTCTTTCTGACACCAAACCCTAGAAGTTACTGAACATTTCTTACCTCTCTCTATGTCATGCTTTGATGATTTCTTTTCATAATTAATAATGGTCCATCTGCTTTTTTCTTCCTCTCTCTCTCTCTCTCTCTCTCTGTGACATGGTCTCACTTTTTCTCATCTTTTCCAGATCAAGGAACCATACAAAAAGTTGTTGTCCTACCCACCAACTTCTCTGCAAGTGGAGAACTAATTTTAGAAGAGCTGGAGGTTTTTCAGGTTTGGCTTGCTCCTACTTTTACTCTTCCAGTGTGTATGTTCACACAAACACTTTGTTCTAAGAGACTTTGGCAAGGACAACTGTGACTTGATAAAAGATCAAGTAAATGTGCATACTGTCAGCTTGATACCCAACCCAAAGAGGAATATAAAATGTCTACTGTTATGAAGGCTGTAGCTAGCTTAAGTCCCTTTTTTCTCCTATATTTAAGTTACTTATTTTTTATGTAGTCATACTGGCTAGAAGGATTTTGATAATCACATTTTTACGAGGTCATGTTATAGTGGGTGCCAGAAGGCAACTTTTATCATTGGCATCACGTATTGAGACTGTCACTATTTACAGATGGAATCTAAGATTTCTGTACTACTTTGATTATCTGATAATCATCCTGATTCGGAGCTGCAGAATGGAAGCAAACTAGTGATGGTTTTGCTTAACTCCAGTTCTTCAAAGCCACATGCCTCTGGAGTTAAGAAAGCTACAAGCTTAACACAACATAAGCTGAAAAGAAACAAACAACTACAGGGAGAAATAAGAGAATAGCCTCTGTCAATCACTCTGGCATGTAGCAGCTTGTAATAACCTAAAGAATATGTTCACCCTCATGCTGAAAAATCCCTTTCACATTTTTGAATGGGCTATTCTTTCAAACAGGTAGTCTTGGGGCAAATGGTAGTACGCATCTATAGACTTAGTTAAGGGCTTTGTCGTGGTCTTTTCTCTATTTCATTGAGGGGATACAAAAAGGAAAATTTAAGCTTTTTGGGCTAGACAGGCAGCATTAACAATTTCTTTAAGAAAAGGAATACACTCTGTGTTAACCCTCATAAGGGCATAATTAGTTTCCTAGGCTTTTGTTGAAGACTTCCCTCTAAAAAAGATATATGGGAGTAATATTACCTAAAGAGTACCCTTCACCCAAGTATTACTAATTCCATTTACTGAACGGTAAATTAATACAGCAAGCAGATAGGTGGGCTGAGAGGAATCCTGACCCTAAACCTAGTTTCTGGGCTTCTGTGCACAGACTTTTTTATCCTGAACCCTCAAAATCATGCTATTGTAACCTCTGCCATTGCAATCTGTGTGGGCAGCGTGGCACTATTTTGATGAGTCTCTCCAAGAGAGCGGGAATGAGATCACTGGCTGTGCGATAGTAAATATCGAGAGCAAAGCACCGATTCCTTTCCAGAGTATATGCAAGGAAAGGAGAATGTGGCATCAGATCCAGTGTTGCATTTGACCTTGGGTCTCCAGACAGTTCATGAAATACTACAGCAGCTCTAAACTCCTTCAAACCTTTGCCAGTTCACATGATTTGCAGCCAGATTTCCTAGTCCTGGCCTCCGTGCTCTGCTTGTAGTCCGCTACAATTAATCCTGGCCCACTGCTATGGCTTTCCTTTGTGACTGAGTAAATGCTAAATCTTAAAAAAATTCTGGACATTTTTATGACCATCAATTTTATCATTTGTTTGGATGAGAAAAATGAATTGTTTCACTTGCTTAAGGCAATGAATGTGGTAATTCCTTTTCCAGCTCTTTAACATTTGATCTGGACATAGACAATAATAGACTACAGTGATGACACACAGTAGTATACAATACTGTTTCTGGGAAAGAAACATTCAATAACACACATGCCATTTTTAATATTCTAGTCATTGATAATCTGAAAGTATATCTTGGATAGTAACCAAACTGTATGCACTGTAGATAATGTGTAGGAGAAATATGACATATTCTTATCTGGATCATGTGGTAAATATGCATGAGCTATTATATGATTTTTCTTTATCATCATCGTCAAAGAACAGACATTGTTTCTTATTACAAAGTGAGAGTAATGGCTTCAAAACACATTGCTCCTATATTGCTGAGGTAACACAGATGCGGGTTAATTAGAAGTGTACAAAAACTTGTTGATTCACATGAGTAATAATAATGAGTTTAGCAAATACATTTAGCAAGACATTACTTGTATTTATGTCATTTGTTTAGTTCTGACAATAGCAAAAAATTAGTAGGAGTGAGTGATGCCTTTCCAAGATATAAAAAGTTACAGTTTTCTTAGATAGGACTTAGGTTTTATTAAATTTTAAATTTTAATGTTGGGACAGTATTAACAGGAGAGTCCTTGTAAATGTGGTTTGGAATTTTGTCTTTCAGAGTAATTCTCCTATAACAACAATGAAGATCTCATCTAAAAAGGTAAAGAAAAGTGGAATGCTTACTTAGTGCTTATTAATTGAGCAATAAATTCACTTAAAGGTATTAGAATACCAATTGTTGTGCAGCATACTAAATATAGGCAGGAGATTTTCCATAATGAATATGGAGAAACTTGACTGACGTTTGCATGAGCTGTTTATATGCCTCAGAACCACTAAGAGAAAACAATTTCTGTTCATTATGTATCATTTCTAATTCACTGAAAGTGTAAATTTTTTTGTTGTTTTTTTGACAAGTAAGGGAAGAAAAGTACTAAAAAAGGAAACTTGCCGTCCCCTTTTTTTCTTTAAGTCCTAAATAGAAATTTCCCCTTGGAAGTCTGGTCAAGGCAAAAAGGCAGTGCTGGGGCTGTTGGGTCCAAGGTGCAACTCACGTGTTTAGTAGTAATAACAATGGCAATAAGAATGATGAAAACAGCTGAGAGGATTTCTGCTGCAATGTTAAAGACCCAAACTAAAAATATGTATTCCATGATTTTGCAAGCCATATGTTGCTCAATATTTTACAAAACTACTAATAAGTAAACATTATTCACTAAATTGAATTCAGTGTAATTTTTTTAGGTTTATGACAAAAAGATGAGGGGAGTTTCAAGGGTTTTGTTCAATATTTCATTTATATTTTAAGAATAATTGATTAATTGTTTCTGAGTAAAACGGTCATTTTGGCCCAGATTTTGGTGATGACCTATTCACTTTGAACTTCTTTTGCAAAAGCTCTCGTTTATTATAAAAGTTCTGTTGGCTTATTTTTCCAGGTATATAAGGCTATCGGAATCTGGCCCTAAGCCTCAACATAATCTCTAGGTTTTATGTCTTGGAAATCTATGCGCTGGAGAATCCAACTAGGAACTCTGCATAATATTTATTAAAGTGACTATATGCAGAGAAAATAGTTAGTTCAAAGGCTTGAGCCAATAATCCTCACTGAATAAGAACCAAGTTCTCAAATCTGAGCAATATTAACTCAGCCTGTCTGCCCCAGAACAGAACAATGACACTCAAGGTCCAAAAAACATTAACAATCCCCAGTGTTTCTAAGTTTTTTTCTAACAGGAAGGTGGAAATATTATAGGCCTGTTCACCTGGGAGACTTCTGTTTAACTTGGCTTTATAAATATTAGTGGCTCCCCTCTTGGTCTTGAGTTAATTCCAAAATTAATTGAAAGGTTTTTAGGTGTGTTAGCCGAGTCTTGGGTGAAGCTCCTCCACATCTGAAATAAATCTTTCCCTTTCCTTCTACAGCAACAGTTGTATGTGAGCTCAGATGAAGGGGTCACCCAGGTATCCTTGCATCGCTGCCACATCTATGGGACCGCCTGTGCTGACTGCTGCCTGGCCCGAGATCCGTACTGTGCCTGGGATGGCAACTCCTGCTCCAGGTTTTATCCCACAGGGAAAAGGTGGGCAATATTAAGCAGCAGAATGAAATCTGAAGGAAAGGCGGCTTTTGTTCTGCTATGTAGCCTGGGGTGTTGTAATGTGATGGAGAAGTGGGATGTCATTCCATTCAGGAGCATGTACAAACAATACCTTGCTCTGTAGCTATTGTGCTTGGCATTATTCATCACCTAGGAGTGTATGCCACAAGAGTGTATTCTAAAGAGCTTGCCTTTTCATATTTAAAGTAATAGACTGAAAAAAAAAAAAAAAACATTTCTAATCATAAATATTAATCCTTCTGTCTCATGCACACAAAATCAGTGAAACATTTGTTCCCTTTGTTTAAATTCAGTTGCTCACTATGGGTGTAATTATGATAGCCCTAAATACAGCAAAATATCTCTCAGGCTGTCTGAGGAATAAAATAATTTTTTTTTCTTCTTTTTTTTTTTTTTTTTTGGTCCTCATTTACTCCTAAGTGAGAAAAATTATTTCCAGGGAAATTTTAGGCAAATGTGATTTCCATGTAATGCCAGCACATTTGGGGTTTTTGACATGAGATTTATTAAAGCAGACAGGGAAAGCAATTTCTCTTTAATTTACAACAGAGCTAATAGTCCATCTCATAATTCTTATGCAAAACAGGAGCCTCTTTCCTCCTCCCGAGGGAAATATTTAATAGCAGGAGGCTGTAGTGAGCTCTTGTATTACTAAGATTTCACTTCATATACAAACAAAGCTACAGAATACACAATGAGCTATTACTGCAGAGAAGACAAACCTTTCAGATGTATGCCAGAGCTTTACCCACTATGTGCCACTGTACTCATTCCCTGCACCTGAGCTGCAGATGCAGAAGACCGGGTGCAGTTAATGGGCTTCACTCCTTTACCTACATGGAGGGAGACAGTAGACAGAAATAGGCAAAGCTTTGCTCTGCTCCAGTGACCCAACCAGCTGATGGCAATATTATCACCTGGGATTAAAGATAATTACTTTTGTTATTGCAAAATTTTCTTGATTTTTGCAAATAATTGCAAAGTTTTCCTTATTTCAGATTAAAAGGTAAAGCCCAACCTGGCCATGTAGCAATTGGTAGAGTACCTGGGGTTTTAACTGCTTTCACTGAGCGTATTCAGCCTTCAGTCTGCAACCTCATTCTTTTCTTCAGTGGAAACAAAGGCCAGAAGATGTGGGAAGGAAAGAAACAAAAAGTCCCCGAGTAACAGGCCACCTAACTCCTACACTAACATATTTGCTGAAAGATATAATGAGCAGTCAGGTATACCCAGTCTGTGCAGTTTCCAGTGGATTCCTTGCCATCCCCATTATGTACACCCAGGGTTATTTCCACTGGGGCTTGCTTTCATGCTGACATTTTGTTTGCAATTTGCTTTTTATATCAAACCAAAATAAACACCTAAAACTGTATGGAAAAAACCCTGGTTTTCACATGTGAAGGAAATGAGTTTTCCCTTTATCTAACAAGAAAGATTATGAAGGAGAAAACATTGGTGATCAGAGCCAAATCCCATCGTCTAGACAGTAGTATCTGCAGGGCACATTTGCTTATTTGCTTCTTTTGACACTTCTGTCTCCCATGGATTACTGAAGTTCCTCATGCAACATTGATTTACCTCAAAACACCTGACAGTATTACCTTTATTTTCTAAAGACCACCTCTCAAGCTTTTTTTTATAAATATCAAACTGTAAGTTTACATTCTCAGAACTGCTTAATGCAAGCAGCGTGCCATTTCTGACAGTTTGGACGGCTCACGGTAGCCCAGGAATCCTGAAATTCACTCAGAAATTTTTCATTCTCTCCTTTGACTCACATAAATAGTTCACAAAGGTTAAGATCCCAAGGCGTAAGATGAAATATTTTTGATGGTAAACATCAAAAATATACTTGGAATGTCAGAAATTACTCCTTTGAAACATCACCCTTCAGATGTTTCCTTTTAAAAGAATACAGTGAAGGATCAGGTGACACAGGACTATAAACACTGTCTCTGGGTGTTTGTGCAGTACCTGGTATAATGTGACCACAGAGGCATCACCCTTCACTCAGAGGTACTGGAGCTCCAGGGGCTTTTTGTTGTTTCTGAGCTCACAAGCCATTAGTGCATAGTTCAGAATACAGCTGTTACATATCCCAGCAGCATCCATTTGCAACAGTCTATCACCAGTATATTTTTTTGTTGAACTTGATAAATATTGAACTAACTTACAGAATATTCAGCAAACAAAATAATGTATCTTAAGAATAAAAAGTTCAGGTACCAGCTTTTCATGCACTGACTTCTGTGAGCTATGACCTCCTAGCCAAGGAGGACTGAAATGCCAGTATTCCCAATCCCAGTAAGATCCCTAGCTAGTTTGCTACAGAATCGTGATCTTGCATCTCTCATCCAAGTAATATAACAAAGGCTCATTTAGAAGTATTCTGAGACTTGGTGAGTTTGAGTATCTTTTGGAAATAGTCACATACAGGGCAGAGCTGAATCTTAGCTCTCCACCATTCTGGATGAATACTTCAGTCACTCTGCTACCAAGGTGGCTCACAGGCACCAAAAATAAGGTGCCTGCCAAAATCAAGGCAGGAACATGCCCCATGTCCTAATTTTCTGTTGTTTGCATTAGATATCAGCACTGTGACTCTCATGCATCTCATTCTTAGGTGCTTGCCTTTATGAAGAGTTCCACCTGGGGGTTCTGGCTTTGAGTGTTAGGTCTTGCAACAGTGAACATATGTCTATTTTATGCATCACCTCTAGCCCTTACATTTCTATACCTCCATTCTACTTTACCTACCAAAGGTACGACCATTTTATAAACTTCAGCAAACAGATTATTCACTTAAACAGTATCTTCACTCTAGGAAGCCTGCCAAGAGTAAAGCACACTCACTGTAGGTCATGAACTACCCCTAACAGTTGATCCAGTTAAAAAAAAAACAAAACCAAACCAAAACCCACAAATAAAAAAATGTTTATTTGCAGTGTAGCTATCTTGGAATAACATTTTGTTTTTACAAAATATTTCAGGAGGAGTCGTAGGCAAGACGTGAGACATGGAAACCCTCTGACTCAGTGCCGAGGTTTCAACCTGAAAGGTACTGTAATTTAGAGATCCTCATGCTATATAAAGAATGCATGGCTTTCCTTTATGTGATTCATCATAACTCACATTATCTGTGTGGTTTACTGGTAAAGCACAATTATTTTCCAAGTCTGAGTTTCCAAGTTTTGTTTTGATTTTAACATCTTTCCTTGCAATTGCATGAAACTTGCATATACATGATAGTCATGAACCGTGAAATACATAGTTCAGCATATATGAAATGAGAAGCTGACAGTGTTAACTAGAAATAGGTACAGTTAACTTGAGGGCTCTTCTACTTCTAAATCCGTTCAGTCTTTATTATAAATTCATCTTCATGCATTTAAGTCTTGGACCTCAGAATTATTCTGCATATTTGAGGCCATATTGTGTTTTGGAGCACATCTTTCAGCAAACAGCAGGTGCTTGACCTGTCTTTTGAGTTATGAATATTTCTTTCTCCCTTTACATGGGAAAATAAACCATTCCAAATCTCTTTAAGAAGTCCCTTATTTTCAGCTGGGCAACTGTCTAGTTAGCGTGGCACGGTGCATGTGAACAGGGGAGCCAATGCTCTGCCCTCCCAGCTACCACTTTCTCCAGATAGATGGACACCGGTCAAATATTGCCAAAGTCATAGTAAGAGTAGACACATACATGAAGGCAGCTTAACCCTCTTCAACCCCATGCATGTCTGAGCTAGGCTGTGGCAATGTATGCCATCAAACCAGGACACGTTAGAGAATTATGCTCCTTTCACTTCTGTTTCTGAGCCTGCATTTTGAAGTGCATTCTCATCTGTACCATCTGGAGACCAAATAATAGACCTGATTGTAAATTTTTGATTGAATTTTTTGAGTAAAAGAACAACATTTTAAGAGTTACACGTGAAATGTTCCGTTAACAATTCCACTGGAATAGCCTCCGCTGGGTCTCAGAAGAATCTCTCGGATCAAAACAAACTACAACAGTCAGTTGGGTGTAGATCCCTCAGCCCAAATGTGGCTAATCCTGCTCTAGCTGCCAACCTACAGCGCCAGTGGGTCTTTCCCCATGACTCAGTATTAGGTCATTTATGTGAAGCTGAATAGCTTGAACAGGCAATTACAAAAGATGACCCCACCATTCCAGTATGCACCTGAGCTCTGAGAGATCCATATTAAAGCTTAGGCTCTGAATCATGAAGTAACTTGAGCTGCGTGTCCTACCTTGCAGGCATGTGCTGTGACCACTCATCCATTGTCTGTCCCAAGGGTGGGTGTCTCCTCTTTCAATGGGGAAAATGTGAAAATGTCAACTGTCTGCTTTCTGGGCTGAGGGGAAACAAATGTTTATACCTTGACAGTCTTGTGAAACAGGTTTCTTGTTTTCCAACCTTTTTTTTTTTAATGTGGATGTATTTATAGGTTTATGTGTTTTAGCAACTTTAAAGGATGTTTTGGTGACAGCAGTGGGATATAGCATAGATGGCAGTTGTTTCCCCTGTGGAAAAAAAGATAAAAAGAAACAGCAACTTAGACTCTTTCAAAATATAATTAAAGCCATTTATAGCAAAACTACTATGTTTGGGGAAAAAATGAAATCTATCTAAAGGACAAAAGAGCAGTGAGTCGGGCAATAGCAAGAAATCTTCCAAGTTCATCGGGAACCATAATCTTGAAACAAAGCCTTTAAACATGGTAGGTTGCATGCCTTAGACCTCTCAGCATGTATAAACTCAACATTTTTGGCATATTGCAAATTTTAAATAGGTCATCAAGAACTAAGGGGCTTGTATGATTGCTTTTCAAATGTTCTGTTTGTGTTATGCTTGTGTTTGCCCTTATGGTCATTAGAGAAATGCATCTCAATCTTTTTCTTTGCATGTGTAAGTAGTAGTATTATGGACTAGGTAAGAAGTTACATATATATTGATCAATTAAACAGATTAAAATGCATTTCTGTAGTACACCTAGTTCCAGTGTACATAAAACCAAAAATGTGTTACAAGTCTGATTCTCACTGTTCCATAGCTACAGAGGTCAGCCCACAGATAAGCTCTTTCCTAGCTTATGGTCTTTGAATGCAAAATAATTGCACGTTATTCTCCTAAAAGTTACAATTGATTTTGGTACAACCTCATAAATGTGCTAAAAACTTTGAAGGACTAAACCCAAGCAAAGTCTCCTTCCTTCAGTAGAATAGACTCCAATTTCACATATCAGTTGATGAAAGAAGCTGAAAAGAATGGAAGATAAAGTAGAATCTGAGGAAAACCAGTCTTATGACTGTGCAAAAACAGAGTCTGATATTAGACATGTCAACCTCTAGGTATTTGCATTTCTGATACTGTTTTGTCTCCATTGCTCCCTTTTTTTAAAAAAAAAAAGTAAGGGGAAAAAAATCTTGTAATTTATGTACCATGTAAGCTTTTAAATCTGGAAGTGTATCATTTTCAGGACAGATATGATGATTTGGGCCAAGCAATAAGCATCTAAAAGTTCCTATCAGTAACTGGCAATTGTTCATCTATCAAGACTATAAAGGGGCACAACAAGTCTGAGCGATGACATATGCTCAGCACTTGCTCAGGTGTTGCTGGAGTGCTATAAATCTGTCCTGCTCTTTGTTGCTGGCCTGTCTACGTATTCATTGCCTTTCAGATTTAGAGCCAAGTTCCTTCCTTGCTTTGCGAGAGAAGCGGAGGAGTGGGAGCCAAGTCTGCCCTCTCTCGCCTGGCTCTGATACTGCACGCAGCTGGAATACGGAGCCTTCTTTAGGGCTTGCTGCTGTATGTTGAGTCATACAACCATATTCCATATTCCCCCAACTCGTAAACTGAAGTGTGAAGAAATATATTAAATGCTGCGTTATCCTTTGGATAGTTCTAGACAGGTGTTCTTGTAGTAGTAGAGAATGAGATCATTTCAGGGAACAATATCCCTGAGCTCACTTATCCCATCAGCAGAGCTCACCAGCCCACAGGTATCCTACTTTCTCAGAACAGGCCATGTCGGATTGAAAACACTGGTATTTGGAACTGGATGTGCCTCGTCAGATTTCATTTCATTTCTTGAAAATTTTGTGCCCTAAATTGCTAATGTGCCTTTATTATTGGCCAATATCAGGATCAGACATACTTCATTTCACCTGTACTGCAAACATTTTACCTGTATTGCAAACAGTTATTTGCTTTCTATATCGAATCACCATTCCCAGTAGTCTGACCTGTTTTCTTTTTCTTTCTAGCATACAGAAACGCTGCAGAAATAGTTCAGTATGGAGTAAAAAACAACACCACCTTTCTCGAATGCACACCCAAATCTCCTCAGGCTTCTATTAAATGGCTGCTCCAGAAAGACAATGACAGGAGGAAAGAGGTGAGTGATTTGAGCAGTAGCTCTGGAAGGGACCTTGGTCAGCATCTCATCTACTCCCCAGACCTGGGGGGAGGAAGCATTTGTGTTTTCATCAGACAGTCCGGCTACAGTGAAGCTGGAGAATTTGTATGGATGCAGGACAGTGACCAGCACTTCACTCAAATAAGGGCAGACTCTGCAGTATAGCTGGGACTTGACTCCTCAGCCCCACTGATTTCTATCGGACCAGAACAGGTATCAGAAAATTCCTGTCAGCCCCTAAAGTCAGCGACCTAGTTAATGAATTTTTCCTTCCCATCTTACTAATTGCAAGCTGAAGATTTGCAGCACTCAGGACTTCTTATGGATCTGAGGAAATAGGCATAAAAGCAATAACCTGTATAAAGTTCAGGAAGAAGTCAGCATGCAGTAGCCCTTCTGTGCTATTGAAGAGATAAAACACAAAAGCGGGAGAAATGTGAAAGGTTTCTTTAGCAAGAAACTAGTCCAGGCTAAGAACACGTATTGACAAAAGCATTTCCCCACCAAGGTGCAATCACATTTTCCATTACTGCACTCTCTAGGGCTCTCAAGTTTCAGCACTGTAATATACAGTATGATTGTTTATGGGGAATGTGCCTTCCTTAAGTAATATAAAAGAGGAAAAAAATAAATTTCAAATCCAAGGCAGTTACTATATGAATAAAAAGGAATATCTTTCAGAAGGAAATATTAAGTGTCTGTTGACAGATTATAAATACTGAAAAGCATTTTTCTCATATCGAGCCTTCTTCCAAAATCAGAGAGGACTTCGAAGCCTTTCACTGAGTCTTTCATGCTGTTTTTCTCATGTACTCTTCAAAGACTCAAGCCATGTCCTGGCAATCTAGGTCCAATTCTTTAACCCTTTGTTTCAGCAGAACATCTCCCTTTTTTGTTCTTATGTTCAATAACTGTATCAGAATCAATGAAGTTTTAAATAGCAACAGAGAAACTAAAGCAATCAAAGGGTTAATTACCTTTCCAGCTCTCAGATTTCTAAAAATCTTACCTCTACAATATCTACAAAAGTTTACAATAACAGAATAGCATAATAAATAAATTAATTCCCAAGAGAATCAGATATAACGCAAAGTGCAGTTGTAAAATAGGAAAATCATTCATAAAAATACCAGCACTGGTATGCTTTCATATTGGCTTAAATTAGTGATTTTTACTTCACAGCAGATATGCAAAGGGACATGCGCACAGTCATTTATAATCAGATGATAACGAGCTGTGGTAACTTGCTTCCTTCAGATGATGTGACCATCTCCTGGGACTGTCCAGAGTCTTAAGCCAGAAAGGAAATAGGAGAGTAGAAAAATTGCTCTTGGTTTCCAATGAGCCAAGTCCCAGCTGAGGCCACTGCGATGACAACTTTTATACCAGGCTATAGACTGCAGTGCGGATAGAGTTCTTCAGAAGTTAGCCCCAGGAACCTGCTCAAAGTCAAAATATTTAACTGCAAGCTGTCTTGTGTTCAATGGCAGATCAACCCCCAGTTCTGCACCTTTCTTCCATCAAGTCTCAGCAGCAATCTGTGACACTGGCAGAGACATTCTCAGGGGTGTAACCCTGGCAAATAAAAGTTCATTTCTCCAGCTCTTCTATTTGAACATTATGAAAACTCTTCTTTCATGGAGTCTCCAGATTTGCGTCTTTGTCTTCACCCTGATCAAATCTATTGTAACATAACAAATAAAATATTGAAGTAATTTTCTTGAGTGACACTTACCTACCTTGAGGTAAGTTCTCTCGTAACAGTAGCAATAACAGTGGTCTCTGGGAGATGTGATAAAGCCAAATATAGTACCTTTAAGAAACCCTTTAAGAAAGAAAGAGGTGTTTGAAGTGAGACTTACCAAGAGATCCAATACAATGTTGTTCCATAACATTCCCTAAGAAGTTGCTTCTGCCTTTTTGCCCATTAGGTCAAGCTGAATGAGAGGATCATAGCTACTGAGCAAGGACTCCTCATTCGCTCTGTCCAAGACAGCGACCGGGGGCTTTACCACTGCATCGCAACAGAGAACAGCTTCAAGCAGACCTTAGCAAAGATCAATTTTAAAGTGTTGGATTCCGAGATGGTGGCCTTCATGACTGACAAGTGGTCCCCTTGGACCTGGGCCAGCTCAGTGCGAGCGCTGCAATTCCACCCAAAGGACTTTGTGGGAGCTTTCAGCCACTCAGAAATGCAGATGATTAACCAGTACTGCAAAGACAGTAGACAGCAAGGTCAGCAGAGGGAAGAATCCCAGAAGATGAGAGGGGACTACAGCAAGCTAAAGGCCCTTATCAATAGCAGGAAAAGTAGAAATAGAAGGAATCAATTACCTGGATCTTAATTTTATTTTGTAGTAACAGATATCTTTGTCCTTACTGTAGGGGGCTTATATTTGTCTGTTGAGAACAAATTTGAGCAAATCTGATGAAAAATTAAACGCAAATCCAACAAGGCTTCAGAAAAGATCCTCCTCCCAGTAAAATGCAGTGTAACTTAACTGAAGAAAATAATGCAGAGCATTTTCTTTCCTAGATGCTTACTGACAGTAGGTTGGGCTCTGTCCTAGAAGCAGAACTGAGTATTCGTCTTAAACCAGATTTGCATTTAACATCTCAGTATTTAATTACAGCTGAATACAAATTTTTACAAAATCAGTGCACTACCTTGCAACTCTGGAACTGTACCAACCAGACTGGTGGTGAAAGAATCTGGGTTAAGATGCATGCTCAAAGTAGGATGGTACTAAGATTTCCTTGCACTGCATTTAAGAACATGAGTTTCTTCTTGTTTACTGCTCAATATTGGGTTTACAGCTTTCACTCGTTGTTCAAATCATGTGAATACATGCTGATAGGAAGCAAGTAAAGTATAGTAGAAATGTTTCATTCATTCAGAGGTCAAATGAAGGAATGAGTAGAAGAAAAACAAAAAAAAAAATTATACTTTATGAGAGGAAACACTGATTATTGTGCATAGTATGAGTTGTAATAAATTCATAAGTTCTGGAATGTAACTTAAAATATCTCTGCTCATATTGATTTTTATTAAAATAGGGTCTCCTATAATACTACGTAGCTTTATAAGTCGCACAAAGCTAACATGAGAATGTTCATTATATATATAATTTTGAAAAACACCTAAGTGACTTAGGTATTTTAGCTATTTTGCAAAGAATTACACTCCAGTTTTTTTCAAAGGACAGAATGTGGGTATACTGTATAGTGTTTACCCAGAAATGAAAAACATTTTTAGTCTGTTCCATGATTAAATTGGAGATTGTCTGCAATGTGGCAACAAGTCATGAGTGTCTTTGAAAATTTTAAACCATAATTTTTTCAACTGTTTTCTCAAAGTTGCAAATATTTTAAGTAGCATTTTTAAATTAAACCATTTCAATTTTCCAGTCTTTGTACTCTTTTTCTTTTCAATGTTATTTTCACAATTTCTTCTTATTTTCAGTTTTCTGCTGAAAAGAAGATCAGGAAAATAAAAGAAAAAAAAAAGAATGAGGGGAAAAATAAAACTGAAAAATGGGTTTAGGTCAAAACCAAAAAGTTTAACAAGTTGAGAGGCATATTTAAACAGAAATATTTTTGTTTAAGAAGCAGCTGTCAGGTCTAATGAAGTATGTTTGGTTGAAAATTGGGTAAATGAGCATCAAGCCATCCTGGGAAAAACTTTTTTTTTTTTTTTTGATCAACAGTAATGCCAAAAAATAGGGACAAATATTCCTCATTTTACTATGTAAGTGCAGAAGTCACTGAGTCTGTTCAAAGGAGATAGATAACAGGGATTAAAAATGTATGAGTACCTTAGAAGCTTAGAAAAATATTTTATAATAGTATACAAAAATATAAACTAATGTTCAGCTCAAAACTGAGCTATGTCCAAAAAAAAAAAGAGAAGGTAAATTTATGGGCAAAAAATTAAGTGAAAATAATTTCTGAACCCAGAGAAGATAAAAAAAAATATTTTTTAAAAGATGTTAGTTCCAGCCAGTAACAGGTGGATACTGTATTTTAAAACATAGTTTTAAACATTTTAATGTGTCTTAGTTGAAACTCTTTGGGCATTATTTTGATTCTGCTTCTATTAGAATGCTCTGGGAGTAACTCTACAGGGTGTAGACGGACACCTCTGGGTTTGTGCCAGTGTGAATTCAGATCTAGTGCAATGGAGGTAACTCTGGGATTTACCTGATATCCGATAGATGTCTGACTTTATCACCACCTGATGCAGAATAGCTTGGAAATGGGCCCTGATTGATCAAACCACTTAAACACTGTCTCCAAGTCCTTTTGATGCTGGTGGGAGCTCTTTGAATTTCATTTGTGTGCTTACTGTTTGCTTCAAAGGGGATGGCAGTGCCAGCCTACTCATATATCGCCATCTAATTAAGTGCTTTCCTTAATCAGGGCCTAAATGCGTATTTCTGCAATAAGTAGCCACTGGTATCTAAGGTCCTTCTTATGGAAACCAGCAGGAAACTTTCTCTTTGACTTCAGTGAGCTTGGCTCCGGCCCCAAGAGCTAGCAAAGCAGACTCTGGAAGAAGAAAAGTTGGTTTCTTTTTTCCCAGCTGACTTTCAGTGCAGCAAACTACTTTTTTTTTTTTCCCTGAGGATGACTGACTTCTGAAGTGTATAAGTGACAAACCAAAAATCGAGTGCCACAAAGTGAAACTACCTCCTGGAATGGCATTAGTGCGTGTACTCTGCGTGCTGCCATGCTCTTTCTATTTCCCCAGCAGATCCACTGCAGAGTTCGTGTGATATTAATGTCCATTGTGAAGATCGTAATTGCTTCCAGATGGAATACAGTGATTAATAGGTATTTAAGGGTACAATTTACCCTTTAAGTGGTTAGGTACAGTGATATTTTAATAGGTCCCCATTAGGCCTCAGAAATTATAGTTACACTGTTTTCTAATAGAATATTGGCAATAAGGGATTCCGTTAAAACAATCAGCATAGCTTAGACTATCATATGATTATAAAACAATATTTTTAAAGCTGCTTCATATACCATTATTATGGTATGACTGTTTAAGGGATTATACTTAAACTAACATTTTTCCTGCTGCATGAAAACTCCAGCACATATATAATAAGCTTCTGTCAGTGCATAACCGGTCCAAGCTTCCATGCTTTAGCAGCCTTCCCCTGTGTATAGAGTAGTCGGGAGCCAGATGCTCAGCTGGTATAAACTAGCGTAACTTCCTTGCTGTCCATTTAGCTACTGTGGTTTATACCAACTGAGGGTTTGGCCCTAAATGTACAGAATAGACAAACTGCAATTTTTATTTGTTTAAAGTAGCCCCTCTACTGTAGGTAACACCAAAACTTAAGACTGTAATATTGTTTGTGCTATTTAATACTTCCTATTTTGAGGATTACTAAATAATGTATATAATTTTATTCCTTAAAAAATACAAAAGCAAAATGACTTCTAGGCATAACTTCACCAAATGTAAAGATATGTTCTCTGCTAAGAACTTCACCGTGTGCTGATATTTTTTTGGCTATTTTTATTTTGTGTAGTTTGTAAAGTTTGCTGAAATCTTGACCTAACAATGTGTTCTTTGCAATTGTTACTGTAGATATGCGTGTTTTATTAAGAAAATCTTGTTTTTAAAAGTGTAGGTATGTTCCTAGCATGATGAAACTGTCATTGCAGTGAATATGCATTATATAGTGTGTAAGAAAGAACAAAATGTAGTTTAACATAGTGCTATTTAAAGAGTATCTATTTGCCTGACAAAATAAAGTGTGTTGCAACAACTTAACAATTTGTTGTTTTCCCCTTCACAGATGTGTGTTAATAATAAGAAACTTTTTTTTTTATCTGAAAAGCAATCCCATAGACTTTCTTAAACAAGTCCAAGAAGATATTCGCAGTGTCAGGTATTACAGCTGATCAGTTCTGAGCCCTGCTCTGCACTGAACACTCAGTCACAGAGATTTCCAGGAGTACACAGAGTCGGAGATGAATGCTTTCAGAAATGACCCCATGTCAAGACCCTGCATATAAACAGGTTAACATTTATTCATTGTAAATAAAGGAAAAAAAAAGAAAAATTGGGTTTCTACTAGAAGTATAAAGTCAATCAGAAATGTCCAACTTTAAAAAAGGGGAGTGAAGTGTAAATGCTTTCTGCTTTTATTTCACTGGGAAATAAAAAAACCCAAACAAACACAAAACCAAGTGCATTCTGTGAAATTCTGCAGACGAAACAAATTTTATTGTTCAGCTTTTTCTTTCAGCTGGGACTCAAGACATTCTCCAAGCAGCTCTGCAGGGGAGGCAGGCTGGTGGGGCTGCGCCGCAGGGAGCTGCAGCTCTCCCATTTCCTGGTCTGTCCTTGGAGTGACATAACCTGCCCAACACCTACAGTACGCTCCTTTTTCCTGCATCTGTCATCCAAGCAGTGTTATTATTGCTCTTCTTATCGTCTGTTTTTCCAGATGGGTTTTAACAAGAAAGCATAGGGCCTCCTCAGTTCTTTGGGATAATAATTGAAAATTAAATGTCACAAATACTGACCTTCACAACAAGGTTCTGGATCGTTAAACCCGGATTTTGATTTCCCAGACAGATAGGTTCCTGCAAAGCTTTATGAGGTGTGAGTGGATAAGATTACCTCACTCCAGGATTTCCGTACTGGCTAGTTCCTAGATGTGGTGACACTGGATAGTTACCTGCTCAGCGCTCAGGCCAGTCTGGGTCATAAGCTGAGGTTTCGAGCACTCCCACGTGCTCTAGGAAATGTTTGGATCGGGCTCCAAAAAAGCAGGGCATTTACAGAGTTTTACACTCTTGAGACACCTCTCCCAGATCTGATCCTCCGTCTTCAAATCCTGCTCAGTTGTCTTTTGCTGATCTTCTGCCCCTTCTTTCTTCCCCCTCTTGCAGGGTTACAGCATGGTTCAACACTTACTGCTCTGACTCCTGAGCTCTGAGCAGTGGCAAAACAAGATACGGGACTCTCGACATCAGATTTGAGATCCTCAAAGATCTGAGCATTCTCCATTGTCTTTCAAGTATGTTAGAATTTCTGCCCCCTCCCCATCTGGGAGTGACTGCCTTTTCTACGGTCTCTCCTCTGATGACAAGACCTTTCTAAGGTCTCTCTTAAATGAAAGCAGGATGCAAACCCCACACACGCAGTCTGTTGTGATGCATGTGCCCATGCAGGGTCCCTGTGGGACAGAGCAGTGTCAAGTGCAGCCTCCTCTACGCAGCCACAGAAGCCCAGAGGGGACCAGTGAAAAATGTTGCCCGCACAGGAGGTACCGCTAACAACAGGGCGGCCCCCAACGCTACAGCATGATTGCTGCCTCTGGAATTAATTGTTGCCTCCAGAATTAAGTTAGCAGCTGTAATTCTGTGGGGCAGGCCATAAAAGCAGGTTGAGGTATTGTGGCTTTTGCCTAAAGCAATAGACTAGGTCTCAGGAGACCAATGCTTCTTTATCCTTTGCACTGCAGCTGGCTTGCTAAGCCCTTCTCATGCACCCCAAGGTGGTCTGGGGAGAAGTGACTTCATGTGATACGAGCCCAAGTAAAACTACACACAAATACTTACCAGCAGGTTCCAGATAGATATATACATACATACAGCTACCTGCATACAGAGAATCTTTTCTTTCCACACAGTATTTGCTGATTCACTTAGCTTCCTTTAACATTAATGTCCTTTTCTTGCTTCAGCATAGGCAGAATCAGACCTCAGGGTCCCAGGACATCAACAGCTTGTGGGTAGAGCAGTTACCATCTCT